CCATTACACCACCCGCACATCCAAGCTTAGAGCACCGATTATTCCCAAACGATCACCCATCAAGGTACTGATAAGGCTCGACGTTGCTTAACTTATGGGAACTGGTATTTCAACGAGATGTAGCAGTAATCTTAAAGATGTTTCTACCGAATTCTGTCGAGAATTTTAGGTCGCACGTTCACATAAGGAAAGACCGTTTATTAAATGTCATTCAGTGACAAAATGAACTTGATTAGAAAAGTAATCCAGTAAAGTATTTGCTGAAATAATTTTAAAATTGTCAGGATTTTACAAACATATTGTATCCGATGACTAGCTTATGAAAAGCCGTGGTATCCACCGGAATGTATTTTATACTACTTCACTAATCTACAGTAATTACTTGTTTATAATACACACATTTTAGGCATGGGGGGTACTTCGACATGGAGTAATGGTTAACAAGCTTGTTTTACAAGATCAATTACAACTTAGTGGAGAATTCGATCCTCAATGTATAACTCCATACTTTAGACCTTGTGCCACAGCAAAGCTACACTTAAAAAATTCTGGCGGAACTTCGACGTGGTGTATTTGTTAGCATTCTTGTTTTGCAAGATCAATTACGACTGATTCGTGAGTTCAATCTTCACTGGGTGCACCACACTTTTGTCTTTGTGTCCCGTATAAGCGACGCGTAGAAGATCATTTGGGCGCAATTTGACATGGTATAATATCATGCTAGATCAATTGCGACTGGATAATGAGTTCGATCCTTCATGGGGGTCCTATTCTTTCGGTATTGTGCCACATTTAACTTTAGAGCAACATTTAAGAAAGGGGCAAATTGAAGTTCATTCTTAACTTCTGCTTCCTAGGAGGACCGTTTTATTCAGGTTAACAAAGTTTGGCAAAAGGCCCAATACTCACTAAATGCGAGATTTGCCTATAAAGGATTGCTTTGCGAAACGTGCCCTAATGGACAGAAGTTTAACGATCTATACTTATTATCTAAATTGGTTTAGAATTCCTGCAGAACGGGACAGTGTTCATCGCTTGATTTCATTAAGTTTTCAATTATCTGAAAATTCTAAGAAATGGTCTCTGAGGAAATGAAAGGGTTAATCTTTGATTTCATCTTTGGATGCCATTAACTGCATAGTAATGAAAGGATTTCATAGATTGAAATCCATAGAAAATGGAATTTCATCTGTATTTTCCATATTGAGCATATTTAAATAAGTTTGGTAGAAGGCCATTGATTAAAAGTAACCAATGAAGATCGTAGCAACTCGCACTAACAATTTATTTACAAAATGCTCGATAAGTCACCAACTTGATGGTTAAGATGGTAGACAAAACCTGACGACAACTGTAATTTTGCGAACGTGTTACCCTGTGTAAGCGATGGTACGTCACTTTTGATATATTGCTTTTGTAGTAAGTTAATTCAGTCTTCATTCTATGATTCATTAAACTCTCTCTGTGAGGAGGCACGGTGGAGTTTGAATTCCAGTCGAATCGAATATATTCGCTTACGTGCTAATACCCTTGAGAAAGGTATGAATCCTCTTTTTTTCCCACCGCCAGCTATGGGTACATAGCAGGACAAACCGGGTTCTATAGTCTTGGATGACAACCGCAGAAAGAAATGGCAAACTACTGCTGGATAAAATCTGCCTTGTCAATCATGTATGAAAAGACACATGTTGGCCTAAGCGTGTATCACGCATGCTACCTAACTGACTGACTGTCAGGGAACAATACTAAATAAATATTGATTTAAATTAAGTACCTGGGGTTTAGAATTTTGATTAGATTTATAGCTCCTGTCAATAATAGCATAGACAATTCAATCTTCTCTAGAGACTGCATTAGATGTTTTCGGGTATATCCTGGGTATATTGTAGCGCCCCGACCTGAAGCAATAATTAGAGCATTGTTTCGAAGAGGCCAAGATCTAATCCTTCCTCTTGCAATCCAACTTTTTGTCTGTTCCTCCACCATTTTTAAATCATTAGTAACTTTTCACCATTATTATTTTTATTGGTAGTAATAATTTCGTTAAATGTCTAAATAAATCTTAAAAGACCTTTGAAAACTTATATTTCTGTGGCTACATTCTTTGACTCACACTTTTAAAGGGGTCAACAATTAAATCTGAAGAATTATTTGTGAATTCTTAGCTTAGAGGCCTCTAATTGTTGACTTCAGTGTTCACTTTTATATTTACACATGGTCTATCTCTGATATTGAGCACTTTATCCCATAAATATAGCACACCTTAAGATTATATTTCTTCATATATATATATATATATATATATATATATATATATATATATATATATATATGGAGTTAAACTGAGAGAGTTAGGCAAACCTACCAGGTTTTACCTAAGCGGATCTCAGGAAGGCTAGCTTCTGACGATCTGCTTAGGTGAAAACTTGTAGGTTTGTTTTCTCTCAGTTTCTAGGTCTCTCTACTTACCGTATTAAGCACTTTATTTAGTTATTTTGTTTACTAGTATCGGTTTTTTTTTCCTTTGGACTTTGGACTTGGATGCTAGACGATTAATTTCAGCTAACGTACATGTTCTTGGTTCTTTCTTTTTTTATACCTTTTTTTCCCTTTGGTATTGGTTTGATTATTAGCAAATCAAGACACCGAACGTTTTCGGACGAATATAATTTCTTATACTTATAAGATTATTACTACTAATATAATATATATATATATATATATATATATATATATATATATATATATATATATATATATATTCATATTGATTGGCTGATCTTAACAAACCCTGAAATCTTATAACCACCCGCTTTTTCTTCTTTTTATTTCATTAAAAGAGGCTTTTACATCTGATTAAATCGTCCACTAGCCAGTAATTTACAATCGCCTGATGAGATGCGTTGTATCCCCATCGAAACATTACTGCAATTATGTAGCGATATGTTTTTTCGATTTAATATCCTAAAATAAAAAAGTACACACACACACACACACACACACACACACACACACATATATATATATATATAACGTGTGTGCGTATGTGTATTCATGGGTATATAATGACAATCTGAGTGGTAGCGATAAAAAAGCATCTGAATTTTAGATGAAAAAAAAATACACAGAAATAATTAATGGTTTGCAGTATGCTGTACCGTGTTCTTTTATGACACGTGACAAGTAGTCATCTGCTTCCTTTCTCTCTAATTTTACATTTTTTTTTATCTCGTCTACATAAAATATGCAAAATAAGTAGAATCCTATTTACCAATCCAGTACACAATGCTTTAAGATTAATTCAGGATAATTTTACGACTGATAACTATCGACCGACTGTCTGAGTAGTTAGGATGAAAAGCAATAAACATTACCTTTAAAATACGACTTGATTAAATTAAAAGTGTATTTCTTCACAAAAATATAATAAAGATGACATGATGACTTACCTAGACCAAATATTTGGCGATGCTTCATTCTTATCATATCCCCGAAACATCGAAGATCTCAACTTATTTTGCTCAAATACAAAATGCGCTTATTAGAGACGAAACCTGTTAGGCTTTATGTTTACAAGAGTCAGATTAGACATAAATTGGGGGATTTCCACTATATCTGGGGAGGGAGCTGCCCGATCCTCACTTTCAATCTTGGATAAAATGTCAATATCGTTTTTTTGACGAAGATTTATTCTTCACTCTGCAGAGCCTCTTTCTCAAAAGTTTAACTTTGTCCTGCTATCCCTCATTCCATAGTGAATGATAAGCTGAGCTCCATTCTTTAGTTCCACAAGTTCAAACCTATAAAACTTAGACTACTTCCACGTAGTTTAATCATATTCATTTCCCCCGTATTCCCTTAAATATAAGGATAAATGACTAGTCGAACAGTTTTTTCTTAAGACCTTTTACTTTGTAGAACAAACTTCCGCATGGATGATTACCTGAAATTCTAAAAAGATACAACCAAACAGTGGTTAACTGGGGCAAGAAATGGCTTGTAAATTTTAACGACTTCAAAACTTCTATCTTTTAATCCTCATAGGAAGCAATATTTGTCTTTCATTAGCATGGATGATGCTTTTTGGGCACACGTTTTCCACTGACCTGAAGTGGGGTGATTCTATTGAACTAATTGTTAGGTTAGCTGCTAGGAAATTTGGTTCACTGTGTCGCGAAAAACAATTTTTTTCACCAGAATTCATCTTATACTTTTATAAATCTGTCTGTGAATTGAATATCGTTGCCATCTTAAAATATTAATCAAGTCAAGCGTCAGTTTTCACCTATCCTCCTTTTTTTCATAATTTTCACTTCCTGCAACTTCCTTTCCTTTATATCACGTACCTCATTCAGCATAACTATTTTAGCAATAACCCTCTACCTTGAGGGGCTTTCGAGCATTTTACTGATTAAACATTAGTATTAAAATGTCTAAAAATAATTCATGATAATATTATTACTGATAGCTATAGATTGTTGGTAGATGCGATGAAAATAAAAATGACTACTCAATTATTGTAATTAAGAATGATTCAGTTTAAAATTCTATTTCTTTCAAAAAAATGGTAATATTTACCTGGGCTCAAATAGCCCATTCTTCAAATCCACTTAACTCAAGAACCAAACTTATAACAATTAAATAATCCAAACGTTTGCTGGAGACGAAACATGGCTTTATTGACTCTGATTCCGTTTCATGACCTCTTTGTTTCGTTCGCCATTTACGGGGGATACCAAAAGACCCCCCCCCCAATAAAACATCTCCTATTTGGAATTGCAAATGTGCACCAGCCTCAACCACCGTTAATCCTTTTTAACAGTTTGTATGCATTATCTTCTGGCGGGTGAATTTGTTTCTCCCTGCCGGAAAAAAATATAGGGGGGGGGAGAAAAAGGATTAGAGCCAGGACTGTCCGCCTCTTTAATCATGATGGCATCAAATAGTTTATCTTTATTCAGATTCACTTTAGAAATGTTATTTCTCGATTCAAAAACTGATTAGCGACTAAAGAGAGACAAAGGGATTGGAGGGAGAGAGAAGATGGAGAGACAAGGGAGGAAGAGGGATAGAGAAGGGAGAAAGAGGGAGAGAGAAGGGAAGAAGAGGGTGAAGATGGAGAGAGAAGGGAGGAAGAGGATGGAGAGAAAAAGGAGGAAAAGGGAGAAGATGGAGAGAGAAGGGGGAAAGAGGGAGATGATGGAGAGAGAAAGGAAAAATGGAGAAGATGGAGAGAGAAGGGAAAACAGGGAGAAGATGGAGAGAAGGGAGAAAGAGGGAGTAGATGGAGAGAGGAGGGAAGAAGAGGGAGATGATGGAGAAAGAAGGGAGAAAGAGGGAGAAAATGGAGAGAGAAAGGAGAAAGAGGGATAAGAAGAAGAGTGAAGGGAGAAAGAGGGAGAAGATGGATAGAGAAGGGAGAAAGAGGGAGAAGATGGAGAGGGAAGGGAGAAAGAGGGAGAAGATGGAGAGATAAGGGAGAAAGAGGGAGAAGATGGAGAGAGAAGGAAGAAAGTGGGAGAAGATGGAGAGATAAGGGAGAAAGAGGGAGAAGATAGAGAGAGAAAGGAAGAAGAGGGAGAAGATGGAGAGGGAAGGGAGAAGATGGAGAGAGAAGGGGGTAAGAGGGAGAGGATGGAGAGAGAGAGAGAGAGAGTGGGAGAGCGAGGTGGGGAGGGAGATAGAGAGATTGAGAGAGAATATTTGACCGATTGCTCGATTTTTATTTTCTATTACTCATTTCATCCTGATATTTATTCCTTTTCTAATAGCGCCGTATCATGAATAAAAACCAGATATACCGTGTCTTTGTCGGACAGAGTGCAAGCGACAGAAGATCAAATATATATATCATTCCATATATTATGTTATATTTTTCCCTTTCAAATCAAAATTGTAGATAAACAGTTTTTTTGATCGCCAAAAGGAACAAAAAAAAAAAAGAAAAAAGAAAAAAAAAGAAAAAAGACGTTACTGCAGCCAGATATTTCGTTTCGAAAGGAGCAAAAATACGGGTATTGATAGAAAGTCGCAACATTAACAATTGTGCACACGATCTTCTCTGATTTTTCTGACAATTTTCAAGCTGAATTGTTGTGTACAACTATTCTCCTGTCCATGTTTAACTTGGCTGATTCAGTGATAGAGAAATACAGAGTTCTTTTTTTCAAAAAAATAAATAAATAAAAATAAAAGAATTCAGCTGTAGGTCGGTAAATTCATTTGCCAACACTCTTAGAAATTAATTTGGAGTCATCAAGTGATGTATTAAAAATCCCCAAAACGAAAAGACAATTTGATGTTGATAATTGGCAATATGTCCGTTTATTGAATAATGCTACCATATCAGGTCTGATGCTTCTGTTACATATATGTGCCTTTTCTATAAATATTTTCATGGTAATTGTTCTGATGAGCTTTCTTTTTGGGTAACTCGATTTCACGAATTTAAGCGTAGTACTAGACTGGAAGCTAGGTCTCATCATTTGACTCTTGAAATTACCTAATGAAACCGTAAGGTTCTATACTAATAGTCTATTTGCTTGCATTTCTCATGGGTAGAACTGTCTACTGATTTCTTGCTTTCCTGTAAATAACGATCTTAGAAAATTTAAAAGCAAGCTCCATCGGCATCTTCTGCCTCCTTGAACCTTCTTCTTTTATTGTCCTCTCTCTTTCTTTCATTGTCAGTAATACATTGTATTTTAGTGGCTTTATCGCCTTACTTAGAGGAAATGATTTTCAAATATTTTCGAAGAGTTAGATCTTTGCTCCTTTTCAAGCATAGGATTGGGTTTCTAATTCCTTCTAAAGTCGTTTCATTTTACTCCCAGTAGCGCCTTGCGTTTTAGTGGCATTATCGCCTTGATTGGGCGAAACTGAAAAAAAAAGACTCGATTTCGTGGAGGCTTCTGTTGGAAAATCACTTAAAAAGGTTAATTTGCTGTTATTTTAAACATATCCGTTTTATTATAAAGAGCTTTTAGCTTCACGTATTCGCTGTGTGAAAACGATTCCCTTGTCTCTTCGACGACTTTAGTGGCCTGAAAGTTATTTCCTTCTGTCAGATATGGTCTAGTAAACCGGGCGTTTTTGCTTCAGTTTCGGACAGAGATTTCCTATGATTTTCAAATCTGACTTACAGGACTTTCAGAATGTACATGGGATGTTCGGGTAGCGTGACGGTTATCGGCTCAAAATGTAAAATCGACGAAGCGGGTTCAAATTCCGAGCAAGTCTGTTACTCTCATTTCGTACGGAAAGTAATGAATTTATCTATTCCCCTTCCACTTACGTGTTAAATAACAGCGTTTTATTCTTCAATGGCAACCTGTCTAGGAGAAGGAAAACATTTAATTTTAATCAATTTATGCGCACTGACGTCTACTCCTGTTGTTTGTTAATTTTAAAATAAAACATGATGCAATCTTTTCTTTTGATATAATACACCTAGAATTTCTGTTGCTAATCGTCTGACTCTCTTAGAGACAAATTCGCTTACCCAGTCTATTGGTGTGCTCTGTAACTGCTCAGAATAACCGATCTTCATCGCGAAGTCTGGTGACTTTAAAGTTAGCCAATGACATTCACTTTAACGACGTTAAGAAGTTTAGTTACGAGAACGATCTCTTAACTTAGGTAATAAAAAACATGATTTTAAATAATAATGAATAAATAAAGAAGAAAAATCAATCCAGTAAATATATTATTTGTTTTCTTATACACTTTTTGTTATATGCATAAGGCTAAGTGGCTTTTAATTTGCTAACTAATCCCTATTGTGAACACCTGCCCAGACACATTTGCATTTCTTCAACAGTTACAGGAGAAACCTGTATTTTGTATGTTGCAATGGAATGTCCCACACTCCTCATCGCCCATGCGGACTAACTATATCAGTAGCTATATATAGTAAGCACATGATACATCTGGGGCGGTGCTTAGGGAATTACTAGCCTGCCATCTGATTCCCTGTCTTTCAGTAGTGTATTCTCTTTTACAATAAACCTCTCTTCTTTCATCTATGCACATGTTGCTGTTCCTTCAATCGAGTACCACCTTTGTCTGTTTGTAACCTCTTTTAAGGATACAACAGTTTTGGACTACATAGTTGGCTACATTGGTCAGAATATATGACATTTAGGCAGTTGTGGGCTCTGTAGTAGTTTATAATGGTGATGATGTAGAAATAAAATATTATGATGATGTCAAAGCAATATTATTACACCTGTTCCATAATAGTTGTTGCATTTGCATACACATTTCCTGCATTAAATTAACATTTATTATGGGACAGAGAGAATGTTATACAAGTATTTTATTCCTATATTAAAAAAAAAAAAATTAACAATTTTTAACAGTTGCTGTGAAAAGAATTTGGTTTCTCTCTTGGCTTTTTATAAATTCATTATTTTTGCTTATCATCTGGTCTACACTTCTCACAGGCCTTTTGAATGAAAAGAGTGTTATCCCTTGTTCCCTGTTTAGGATTTTGTTTTCGGCTCCTAAATTATTCAGTTTCTTTCACACCTGGTAGCGTCTTAGTGGCATTATCACCTTGCTTGGGGTGAATTAATAAAAAAAAATTAAGTGAAAACAATCATGTTTAAATCTCTTATAGGATTGATTTTTTTTTCTTACGATCAATCTGATTTGTAATATTTGTCTTGCTTTTCAAACTTTGATTACTTTTGTTATTTTTTAGTTGATTGGAAATATTAAATCAAAGACATATTATTACACCTGTCCCATAATAGTTGTTACATTTACATACACATTTCCTGCATTAAATTTAACATCTATTATAGGACAGAGAGAATGTTATCCTCTTTAAGGTAATTCAACTATTCTCAGCGGACCTTACATTCTGAAAGAGAGCAAAGAATATCGGCTGATCAGCAGTTTGAACAAAATGTCATTATATCATCGAGACTAATTTCACTCGCAACTGTTGGGTTAATACATGGTGTGGTTTTCAGGAACATCCGAATAGGGTCGTCTTTCTCCGGCTTGATACTATCGATTATCTGACAAATGCACTGCGTTGAGATTCGAACGCGAGTTTCATAGTCGGGATGGTATCGTTCTAACCCCCCACCCCCACCCCCGATCACGTGCCTATGAGTGTTTATGCGTAAGAGATTTTTATTTTGACTACTTAAGAAAGACGAATCAATAATAGGCTCTAAAGTATTTTTGTACACTCTTCTTCGTCTGCCCAGAAGCTTTTTGGTCTCACGCAGGCCAGGCAAAAAAAAAAAATTAAAGGAAAAAATGTTTGGTTGTCACAAGACTATGTAGACGTGTAATCTCGACTGAAGACAACGTTTCAACGACTTCATCAGAATTCATTTGATTACTATGATTTTAAAAAAAATACATCTCATTCTACTGAGTAAATATGTTTGCTACTGTATAAATGTAACGAAAACAGCTGCTTTTAAAAATAAAGTACCTCGTAAATTGTAGTTATCTGAATATTACCACGATCTATTTTCTGAACTGCATTCCGTAGAAAAGCTATTTGTAACTAGGAGAATATATATATATATATATATATATATATATATATATATATATATATATATATATGTGTGTGTGTGTGTGTGTGTGTGTGTGTGTGTGTGTGTGTGTAATTAATTAATACAATTAAAAGATTTGTTACTTAGCTGATTAATTATATTTTCAGCATCCCTACTTCAGAGTTTCGTCGACAAACCCGCCAGAAATCACTCAGTTCACTCGTCAGTGGTCATCAACTATTGACTTCTTACACCTCTCGATTCTTCTCCTTTATAACCACTTTTCCTTATGCAGGTTTTTTGTTTTTTTATAGTGTATTTGTGCGAGCGTTTGTGCGTTCGCCGGTCTATGTGTATGTGCGTATGTTTAGAATATTGTGGTTATTTGTTTTTTCCGCCGTACTTTTTTTTCCATTTTACATTGACCCCATAAACTTTACCCTTTTTATCTCATTTTTTTTTCAAGTGTAGCTATTTTGACTTCCGGTTTTCTAGATATATACTGTTTTTTGTGCACTGGGAAATTGAGAAATTGACAAAATACATGTTTAGAAAAAGATATTTCAATTCAATAGTAAACTCAATATATGTACGCATAATTAATTAAAAAAAAACGGAAAAGGTTAGTCACGAAAATCTTCCTCATATTCTACGAGAGAATCGGATGTGATTCCATCTCAGGGTTATGTGATTTGCATTAATGTTAGCAATTACATCCACGTTGTAACCCGTCAACAAGTTATTGCCATTGTGGGACGCGGTAAATGGTCTCTTTTTAGACAAACACCTGTATCTTAGTAGCAGGGATTTCGGATCAAGGGGCCTAGGAAGGCAGAAAGAGTTGAGTGACGTGAGTCTTGACAGGCCACTGCCGGCTTATAGGGGAGAGCAGTGTCCTGCTGGGAAACGTACGGCCATTTCCTGATTAAGGGGATTGATGAGCGTGTACAGCATTCTGATTCAAGTGGTCTTATTGAACCTGAGCCATTGCGAGAAGAACGTGGACAGCATGATATGATCCTCGTTACTCAGAGTAACATCACAGTGAGACCTGAATTTGCCGTGCATCACCTTGGTTAGTTTGTGTAGTGTTTGCGTAGAGCCCGCCTATAAGTCCTTCTTTTCACCTTGTCACTTTTATGAAGCCTGCTATTTCTGAGTCAGCATGAATGGACTCTAAGACTCACATATGGAAAGTTTTAATTTTTATTTTCTGTCTTAGATCAGAAGTTGCCATGTCAATGCACTCGATACGTTTGAAAGAGAAACGTGAATATCAAATTTTGACTCTATCTTCCATCTAAAGTCCGCTAAAAATTTGGTCTCAACTTCCTTTTGCATCTTGCATACCTATTTATATCATATTATATATTATATTATATTATATATATATATATATATATGTATATATATATATGCATTATATTTATATATATCATTATTATATTATTATATATTATATTACATATATTATTATATATTATTTTATATATATTATTATATATTATATTTTATATATTATTATATATTATTATTATATTATATATTATAATTATAGTAATATTATATTATATACTATATTATATATATATTATTATATTTTTATATATTATTTTTATATTATATATTTTAATATTATTATATATTATATTTATATATTATATTATTATATTATTATATATTATTATATTATTATATATTATATATATTATTATATTATATACTAGAATATATAAACAAGCATTTCTTAGGTTAACTCGACTTATAACGTGAAGAATACAGAAAATTGTTTACATGGAAGATTTTTGGTCAAAAACTGTGGGCAGGTATTAGTTGCTGGAATTAATAACCATGACAAATATAAGACATGAGGAAAATTGAAAGTAACAGAGAATAATGGAAAAATCAGAGATAGTGTCGAGAGTGAGTGAGAGAGAGAGAGAGAGAGAGAGAGAGAGAGAGAGAGAAATCGAAGTAACATTAACAGAAACACAAAGTATTATTAATACTGACTTCTGGGAATTTTATTCTATTTAACCATTTCACCCCAAGCAAGGCAGTAAAGCCACTAAGACACAAGGGGGTTACTGAGTGTTAGAGAATATAAGACAAAAACACTATTAAAGAGTGAGAACAATAAAAGAACAGGAATTATGAAGACAGACGATAACAATTGACATTGCCTTTAAATTTTTGAAAATCAAAGTTGACTGGAAAGCAAGAAGCCGGAAGAGAGGTCTACAAGCGAGAGGTGCGAGAGAAGAAACGATTAGCATAGAACTTACGGTTTGTCATTCCACGTAATGAAAATGGAATAGTCCATTATTTATGAGGTACTGGCAGGGTGTAACGGTCGTGCGAAAAAAAACGAAGGGAGAATCAAGTACAATAATAATAATAATAATAATAATGATAATAATAATAATAATAATCCAGTAATCTTTGCATCCCTTTTATGAATAATAAATTATTGATCTAGTACGATCAGTCACTCTGTTCAATTTATGGTCCGCTGAAAATGTGTTCTCAATTTCCTGGTGCAGTTTGTACAGCGGTAATATAGTAGAATGCACAGAATTGCATTTCTTAGGTTAACTTGTCCTATAACGGGAAGACGAACAAAGAAAATTGTTTTCAGGGAGAACTCTTGGTCAAAGCTGTGAGCAGATATTCGTTGTTGCAAGTAGCAACCGTAGAAAATGCGATTTTAAGTTTGCTAACTCGCAGAGTGTTTCGTTTCCTACAAATAAACGCGCAATATTATTATATATCAAACATTATTGTTTTCCTTTTTTTTGTGTTCCTTATTTTCTCTTTGTTTTTGGTCTTGTACACTTTATCCATCAAGCGAGACATCAACGGGAAGCCGAGTATTGATTTTCGGATACGTGATTTCATCTTTGGTTGTATTTGTCGAAAGAAACGAAGAACAATTTATATCTGGAAGGAGATCCTGTACAATAGAAATTGGTTTGTGCTCAAAAGAAGAACCATGTCACACACACGTCGACAAAACAAAAGGATAGCGGAGAAAGATATGTTCCGTGGAGCAGGAGAAAAGGAAAAAAAATAGCGCTGGTAAATCGCATTCGTAGGCAAAAGGATTTGACAAGAATGTCCAGGAAAGGATCATTGTATAAAAGGGTGGATAAGAAAGAATAAATGGAAGCTGGTGATGAGACAAGAGGAATGGTTGGCTGTGGTAATAATAGTAGTAGCGGTTAAAGAAAAGTTGAAAATCATTGACGGAAGATGATGGAAATGTCGGAGCTAATGTTGAAAAAGGAAAAATGAAAGCAGAAACAGAATGGCAGAGCATTGTTAATAATAATAGATTTTACTCTTTGCCTCTCATCTTTTAGGAATAATAAATTATCGCTTTAGTACTATCATTCACGCTGTTATTAGAGCAGAATATTGGTCTTTTATTCATCTTAATAATAATAATAATAGTAGTAGTAGTAGTAATAATAATAATAATAATAATAATAATAATGATGAAAGATAAATATTGTTAATTCTATAGCATTGTCTCTGGCCGTTTATTAAGAATAAAATGTGATAATTCTAGTGCTATCACCAACGCTGTCATTACGGTAGAATTTTTGTTTTCCGCTTTCCATTTTAATACTACTACTACTACTACTACAACTACTACTACTACTACTACTACTACTACTACTACTACTACTACTAATAATAATAATAAAAGAAATACAAAAAAAATTGTTCATACTAGTACAGACCACACCTTACAAAGAAATACAATAAACTGTTCTCTTGAGTACAGCCCACACCTTACCAAGGGCATTATGTATGTAAAATATGTATTTTTTTTTGTTTTTTTTTTAATTGGTCAGTGGAAAATGTCATCATGACATTTCCGACCTTAGGGCCTTGGGCGGGATCCGGAAAAAATGTGTAAACACCAGAAATCAAAGGAAATAATAATAATAATAATAATAATAATAATAATAATTATTATTATTATTATTATTATTATTATTTCCTCTGATTTCTGTTGTATACACATTTCCTTCCGTGTCCCAACCAAAGATCTATGCTCAGAAATGGCTTCATGATATTTTTCCACTGATCATTTTTTTTAAAAATTAACAGGAAAAAAGCAAACCCTAGGATTGCACACATTTTATTTCGTAATGTGTGCACTGGAATTGTGAGTAATTTTTTGTGTATTTCTTTAACGTATAGGCTATCAGGAAACCCTTCAATGAGTCTATCAGAACATTTTCCAATCAAACCTAGGGCTCCAATCACAACTGAAATTATTGATGTCCTCATGTGCCACATTTTGGGGATTTCCACTTCAAGATCCTTGTATTTTGATAGTTTTTTTGAAGATCTTCAAAGATACATTAATGTCTGCAGGGTCTTCCATATTAATAAGAAAGCAGATTCTGTTTTTCTTGTCTTTGATCACAATGTCTGGGTGATTAGCTTTGATTGCTCTGTCTCTGTGTATTGTAAAGTCCCATGAAATTGGGATAGGCCCTATCCCCGTAATCGGGTGTGGGTGATGTTTCTTATTCTTCTTCTTCTTCTTCTTCTTCTTCTTATTATTATTATTATTATTGCTCTAATGTTTCACTAGAAATGACTTTCACATCTTCTGATCTCAAGTGATCAGATGTTTTAACATGTACAAACTTTGCCGGTTAATTAAGAAGGACCAATCAATATCACCATCATTACCGCATCTTTGTTTGTTGCTCGAACTAAGTTTAACCAGTTAGGCCTGGACAGGCTGTACATCTCTGTTGATGAGCAGAAGTAGGATAGGAAGAAATGATTTTTTTCAGTTTGAAGGATGAAGTACCCAATACAACTTGTGGGACAACCTGGAAACACTGTCAATGAGAAATCGACTGAGCACACTATATTGCTGGACCTGAAGGTACTACTTGTTCCACCTGCAAGGTTACGCGCTACTTTACCTGCCACCATATCGAGCCTATCTGGCCATGATGCATTTACCTGGTATACTCTGGGTGTCCTGATGGGTATAATAGGCTTCGTATATTTGTACCCGAGCTGTTGTTAAATAATAATTAAGCAGACTATTATTTTTATAGGAAGTGTACCTTGGCTCCAAATTCTAGTGGTTGACAGCCGAGGTCAGATGGGAGCTATAATAGGAAAGTCGATTTTGGGCTAGACTGGGGAAGTGATGGGAGAAGGGTTTCAGCGTGTTGGTTCTTACCAGTCAAGAGATAGACATGTTCCCTTTCGTGTCCGAGACCGCTTCCCTGTTGACCCCATTGGATAGTTAGATAATGTACATGATTAATAAAAATAGTTAAAATTCTCTGTGTTTGAAGTCTTTCGTTGCTGAACCAAAACGATTAGCGATCGCAGGCCAAGAGAAAAAGCCGAGCTGAGACCATTCACTGTTGTCAACATGCAACACTGTTCTATCATCTAATAATAATAAAACTGATATTAATACTACAAAACTGTCTCTGTTCGCTTTTACTTTTACTAATAATCTTTTTCTCTATATAAAACCTCGTCTCTTTAGTTTTGTAACACGTAAAATGTTTCATATAGGGTAATAATTTTTTTTGCATCCCTATGTGATAAAAGCTCACAAAAGTTTTTCAGTATCTCACGAGACTAGGGAATAGCTAAAATCATAAAAACAATATTTCCTAGTATCTTTTATCCCGTGAGCCGTAAGTTCACCATGGGTACGGCGGCCGCAATAGAAGTGGTATTTTTGGGCCCAACCCTCTCCAGGCCGGTTTTGAATAGATAGTTTTTTTCCTTTTCCTAGAACGGTTGCCACCCAAAGCTATAGAACCTAGGGAGGAGAAGAGTATCGACAACTTTCCCATTGGTATTAGCACGTAAGTGAATGTAATTGATCTGACTAGGAATTCGAACTCGGTCCACCAACTCCGTTATCCGAGCCGCTATCCATTACTCTACCGTGCCTCAGTATAGAAAAACATAAAACCTTAACCATATGACGGGCAACACCCTATTTAAAATAATAAGAAGCAGATGAATTTTACCAAATTACAGTCTTTCATCTTTACGTTAAGAGTAATAATAACAGTTTCGTCTAAACTGTCTTCCTGATTATTATAACTGCAATGACTTTCCTTTTCTTGCTACATACAAAGAGAAACAAGACTCTTTATTATTGCAGACCATGATAGATCAGTATTAAATATAATCTAGCGAAAATAGATAAAACAGAGAGAAAGAGCAAAGAGCAGAGAGAAAAAGACAGTATACCATCCGCAGATAATTTTATTTTTTTACTGAAGAATTGTTTTACTCTACTGAAACTTGTATATACTCTTTATAGTGTTCCAAGTTATTAAAGAGTTATCTGTTCGAAATAAAGAAACCACACGGTGTAGAGCAAAAGACATGCAATAAATTTTGTTATCTAACCTGACAAAAAGCCTTTCTTCATATTCCGTTAGATTTACTCGTTCTTCAGAAATCAATCAACGTGACTCATTAGCTAACATCTTTGGTTTTCCACTCCACAACGTTCTTTACAACGTAATCAAGTCTAATTGGTTCGATAAAGCTAAATTGATGGCTGATTTCGAAAATGAGCTTTAATCTGTTGTCAACCGAGGCAAGAAATTGCTTGTTGATTTTAACGCCTCTAAAATAAAACTACTCTTTTTGTTTTTAATCATCTTAGAGAATCATTTTCCTTCAGTCAGCATGGCTGATGCTAATTCACAGAAAAGGAACTTCTTGCATCTGTTCGGTCTAACGTTTACGGTTGATATGCTTTGGAATGATTATATCGAGTAAGTTGCAAAGACTTCTCTGAAGAAAGTTGGTTAATTGTTTCATGACAATTCTTCTCTCCCGAAACTTTAAATGACTAGGATTTGTCCGTTCATTGAATATTTGTCACATCTGGTCTGTTAGAGATCCTTGATAAAATCAAAAGATGAAGCTGCAACATTATCTGCCCTGATCTGGCATCTC